ATCTTTGTAGCCCAGCTGGCGGGAACTCACTACGTAGACCAGGCTGGCCTTCCACTCACAAATATCTGCCTGCCTCTGGCTCCCACGTGCTGGGATTAAAGGCTAGTGCTACCAAGCTACCAAGCCCAGCAGTTTTTTTGTTTTTTTTTTTTTACTCTAGATAGAATCTCATGTAGTCCAGGCTAGCCTCAAACTCACTAAGTAGCCAAGGGTGACCTTGAACTTCTGCTCTACCTCCACAGTGCTGGGATGACAGGCATGCACCATCATGTCTGGTTTTATGTGGTGCTGAAGATGGAAGCCAGGGCTTTCTGCATGCTTGGCAAGCTCTGTACTGGCTGAACTACATCCTCAGCCCTCAGAAATGTTTTTCACTTCCTCCTGATGACTATTGTTGAAGTCCCTCCAACCCCTCTCATTCTTCGTCCTGTCTCTGCCCCTCATCCCAGCACTGGGACTAGCCACCAAGCCGAGCTTTTTTTATTTGTATCTTTTTTTTTTTTTTTTTTTCCTGGTCTTTTTGAGACAGGGTCTCCCTGTAGCCTGAGCTATCCTGGAATTTACTATGTAGACCAGGCTGGCCTTGAACTCACAGACATCCATCTGCCTCTGCCTCCTGAGTGCTGGGATTAAAGGTGTGCACCACCACACCCGGCTTTTTTATTTGTGTCTTTATAAAAATTATTTATTTGCCAGGCATAGTGGCACACACTTTTAATACCAGCACTTGGGACACATAGGCAGGCAGATCTCTGTGAGATTGAGGTCAGCCTGGTCTACATAGTGAGTGCCAGGCCAGCTGGGGCTACAGGGAAACTCAAAAAGAACCCCCCCCCACCCCCAACTAGCCAACATAAGTTTCACAATGCTGCTAAGAGCTTTGCTGTAGTTCTTTTTTTTTCTTTTCTTTTCTCTTCTCTTTCCCTTCCTTCCTTCCTTCCTTCCTTTTTTTTATTTTTTGAGAGAGGGTCTCCCTTGTAGCCCTTGTTGGCCTGGAACTGGCTATATAGCTCAGGCTAGCCTCATAGAGATCTGTCTGCTTCTGCCGTCTGAATGCTAGGATTAAAGGAATGCACCACCACTCTTGGCTTCTTTTCCTCCTTTTTTTTAAAGACCAGGTCTCTATGTATGGCCTGTGTTGGCCTCAAACTTGAGATCCTACTGTTTAATGAGGAATTCTTCCCAGTCCGGCTCTGATTTCCTGTGCTAATGCTTCTTGGCTTATAGAAGCATCCCTCCAATCTCTGCCTCTGTCGGTGCATGGCCTCCATATCTCTGTGTTCAAATTTCCTTCTTTTAAGTTGGGTATGGTGGTACCTGCTTGTGATTTCAGCCCCTGGGAGATGGAGGCGAGAGGATCGAGAGTTCAAAGCAAGGCTGGGGATGGTGACACACACTTTAATCCCACTACTGGGGAGGCAGAGGCAGGTGGGTCTCTGTGAGATTGAGACCAGCCTGGCCTACCTAGTGAGTTCCAGGTCAGCTGAGGCTACCCTGTCTCAAAAAACCAAAAAGTCAAACAAAACAAAAAAGGAGCTCGAGGTGAGCCTCAACTGCTTAGTGAATTTGAGACTGGCCTGAACTATAAGAGATCCTGTTTTAAAACACCCCTCAATAAGAACAAACTTCAAGTCAAGGACTTGGGTGTACGTACCTCAGTGGCAGAGTGTGTGCTTAGCATGGTGAGGCCCTGGCCTCCATCCCCAGCAACAACCCCTGTCCCACATCCACACACCCTCCCCACAAACACCTCAGTTTAGACTTATCCCAATATAAATGCATTTGTGTGTGTGTGTGAGAAAGGTTCAAAGTTCATTAAGTTAAGATTTTTTCAATTCTTTTTATTGTATGTGTATGAATGTTACATGTATGAATGTATATAAGTGCACCTTTGCCCACAAAGCCCATAGAGGCCAGAAAAAGGCATCAGATCCCCTGGAACTGAAGTTATGGATGATTGTTAGCTGCCATATGGGTGCTGGGAACTGAACCAGGGTCCTCTGCAAGAACAGCCAGTGCTCTTAACCGCTGAGCCATCTCTCCAGTCTCAAGTTAATTTTTTTCATATAGCACAATCTTTCAACATTTTCCCCTTTTTCTTTAAAAATATTTATGCGCACGTGTGCATGCGTGTGTGCGTGTGTGTTTGTGTGTGTGTGTGTGTGTGTGTGTGTGTGTGTTGTTGGGGATGGAATTCGTGTGACAGAGGACAATTTGGTGGAATCAGTTCTCTCCTTCCACCATGTGGGACCTGGGGATGGAACTCAGATTGTTGCACTTGGTGGCAAGCGCTTTTATCCACTGAGCCATTTTGCTAGCTCACTTTTTTCTCTTTGTCTTTTTTTCCCTACCCTTGATTTTCTATTTTCATTTTACTAAAATTCTTTTCACCCAAGCCAGTGTTTCTTCCCCCACAAAAATATTTGGTCTTGGGCCGGGCGTGGTGGTGCCCGCCTTTAGTACCAGCGCTTGGGAGGCAGAGGCAGGTGGATCTTTGTGAGTTCGAGGCCAGCCTGGTCTACATAGTGAGTTCCAGGACAGTGGGGGCTACAGGGAGACCCTGTCTCAAAAAAGACAAAAAAAAAAATTTGTTCTTAAGCTGGTTGGAGTGGTATACAGCTGTAATCTCAGCACTCTGGTGATGGAGGCAGGAGAATTTCAAGCTCAAGTTCAAGGCCAGTATGGACTACAGAATGAGTTTCAGGCCTGCCAAGAGTAAATAAATCGACTACCAACTGTCATGTGTTCATTTTTTCTACCTAGTCCATCTTCCTCAAATCAAAATCTGTAGACCAGGGGCTGGAGAGTTGGCTCAGCAGTTAAGAGCACTGGCTGTTCTTGCAGAGGACCTGGGTTTGGTTCCCAGAATCCACATGGTGGCTAACAACCATCCTTAACTCCCGTTCCAGGGGATCTGATGCTCTCTTCTGGCCTCCAAGGACATTGCATGCATGTTGTGCACCTATATACACGCAGACAAAACACTTATATACATAAAATTAAGTTTAAAAAATTAAAATTTCAGAACAAAGTATTTTTCACAATTAAGCAAATTTTTTTTGATACAGGATTACCTAGGCCAAGCTAGTCTGGAACTCACAATCCTCCTGCCTCAGCTTCCTGAGTGCTGGCATTACAGTCATATTGGACTATACCTGACATCAAAATTTAATTTCTCTTATATAGTCTTTTCTAGAGGGTCTGGGGATGTAGTTCAGTTGACAGAGGGCTTGGCTAGTGTGCACAAAGCCCTGGGTTCCAGTCCCAGCACCACATTGTAAGAAATCTGGTGCTTGTAGCTCCAGGTGTGAGGTGCTGGCCAGAAGAGCAGAAGTTTAAGGATACAGTGAGTCAAAGGCCAGCTCGGGTTTATGGGCTTTTATGTAAAAAAAAAAAAAAGAAACACGGAAGGAGGAAATAGTGTATGAGTGTATTGCTTGCATGTATGTGAGTGTACCCGTATTGTGCAATGCTGGAGGAGGTCAGAAGAAGGCTTTGTATCCCCTAGAACTAGAGTTACAGATGGTTGTTAGCTGCCATGTAGGTGCTGGGAATTGAACCCAGGTCCTCTGCAAGAACAGCCAGTGCTCTTAACTGCTGAGCCACCTCTCCACCCCCCCCCCTTTTTTACGATAAGGCCTCATTGTGGCTTGCCTGGCATTTGATATGTGCGTAAGGTTACATCTCACAGAGTTCTGCCTGCCTCTGTCTCCCAGGTGCTGGGATTAAAGGCCTGTATCATTACACCCAGCTAAATAGTGGCTCCTTATTCCTCCAAAGGGATGGCCACCACAATATACCATATATTCCTTCTGTCTCCTGCCTGATCACCAACAACTGTCCAGCAGATGTAGCTTTTTCTAGTGCTTGCTTATGTCCCAAGCATTGTGCAGGTGACTTCCGATTTTGTCTAATCCTCAGTGCAGTCCCAAAGAGGCTTTTACTCTGTCCCCTTTCCAGATAAGGAAACTGAGAGTTGGAGAGGCGATGAAGCCTGGTTAGGGTCACATGATAGTGGCCTGAAGTACCCAAAGTCAGTCTCTCTCTCTCTCTCTCTCTCTCTCTCTCTCTCTCTCTCTCTCTCTCACACACACACACACACACACACACACACACTTACTGACTCTGGGTTCTTAACGAAGACCTTGGTGCTCCCCATCTGATACTGATCTGGCTCCATATTGACAGCGCGAAGCAGGTGCTGGACACCCTGGCGTTCATCTCCACGCCACCGTGGCCATGTCTCAGGGGTCAGAATAGCGTACCTGGAGGCAGAAGGCATGGAGGGGCATTTGGAGCAGACCCACAGGCCACTCCAGTGGGGAGGTAGTCAAGGTGGGGGAATACAGTTATCTCACCTCTGCAGGAACTTGGAGAACTGACGACGGTAGGCAAAGCCCGCCCTTCGCACCCGGATGTTCTCCCTCAGGCCCAGGTATTCCACCTGGTGCTTCACCCTGTGGGAGTGAGGTGGCCTGAATCCCAGAGAGTGGACCAGGGGTATAGTGGAATTTGTGGTAGGGGCAGCTCATGAGCCTAGCTATCATCTCTGTCTATCTATCTATCTATCTATCTATCTATCTATCTATCTATCTATCTATCTTCTATCTATCTATCATTTCTTTCTTTCTTTCTTTCTTTCTTTCTTTCTTTCTTTCTTTCATGTATCCCTTTGCTCTGTCTACCCATCCCTCTGTATGTTCCATCAATCATCTCTTTATGTATAATCTACCATCTATCTCTTTCATCTATCTATCCACATCTCTCTATCTCTTTGATTATCATCTTTCAATCCTCTCTCTCTCTCTCTCTCTCTCTCTCTCTCTCTCGTCCAGGCTATCCTAAAACTCACAATCCTCTTACCTCCATTTCCAAAGTCTTGGAATTACAGACATGAACCACCATCCCTGGCTTGGAGGTGGTTTAGAGGGTGAATTTTGAGGTCTGAGGGGCTTCAGGGCTCAGCATGGGAATCAGATCTTGGACTAGGATCTGAAGGGAGGGTCTGGGCTCATCCAAGAAGATGGTCTGGGATCAGTTCTGGAGTTAAGGTCTGGGAAATTGGGTCTGGATCAACCCACAATCACTCTGGGGTTGGGGGTGCTTGGTCATTTCTATCTACAACTTGAGCCCTAGAGGCTTTAATTTTAAAATCCTCTCTCTCTCTCTCTCTCTCTCTCTCTCTCTCTCTCTCTCTCTCTCTCCCCTCCCCCTGTGTTTTTTTATCATGTGTGTACATGCCACTGCATGTATGTTCTCTCCTTTCACCATATGGATCCTGGGGACTGAACTCAGGTCATCAGGCTTGGTGGCAAACCCCTTTATCACTGAGTCATCTTCAGTCCCCTGAAGGGTTTTAAGCTGGTCTCAGGGTCCAGTCCAGAATGCTTCTAAAGTAAGCAGTCGGTCTGTGGGTCAGATGGCATGGGGTGGGGAGGTGAAGTGGGTGGGCAGCTCACCTGCTTTCCTCCCAGTCCCGGGGCCGTTTGGTCTCATTGGGTTTGATGCAGCGGATGTAGTGGGGTGTGCACTTCTTCAGTGTAGACACCAGGTCATTGGCTTGTTTCTGAGGCATAGGAAAAGGCAGGGGTGAAGAGGGAATTCCAGTGGACCCTGACTTCTCTTCTCCCCATTCAACAAACAGACACAGAATGAGGGAGGCTGCCCCTGGTAAGCCACTGGTGTATGTACTTCTGTTCGGTCCTACCACGAAGGTTAATATTGTGCAACTCAACCTTCAAACCCTAAGCTAGGAGTTCTGGTGTCTGTCGCTCTTACCATGTAGCTTGGCATATAATAAGTAGGAAATGTTTGTTTGACTGAGTGACAGGACAGTCAGGAGAAACCACTGCCTAGATATCTGCCTATGTTCAAGGGACTTCAGAAATAAGCTGGCGGGGGGTGGCGGGGAGAGAAGCTTTGGAAGTGGTAGGGCTGGGTGGAGAGACTAGGAGATTTTATAGATTCAGATTCAGACTTTGCTGTGTGACTTGTGCCAGTAGCTGTTTATCTGGGCATCTTAGCCTGTCCATCTTCCAAATGGAACTGAGCTAGCTCCTTGTATACATGAGAGTCCTGTGCTTGCTGCCAGGATAAAGTACTCAACAAATGGTTGTGAATGTGTCCTTAGGATGGGACCCCAGGCTCATTGCAGCATTATCAATCCAAGTGCACAATGCATAAATGAACACAATGTGGCATATCCATATAGTGCAATATTATCCACCCTTATAAAGGAAGGAAATTCTGTTATAAGCTCCAACATGGATGAATCTCAAGGACATGGCTCCGCATGACTTTAGCCAGACACAAAAGGACATGACTATGTGATTCCACTCACAGGAGGTCCCTAGAACCAGCAGGTTTACATGGACAGAAGTAGGATGGTGCAGGCAAGGGGCTAAGGAGGGGGTTGGAAGGTTAGTGTTGAATGGGAACAGTTTGACTTTGGAAAGATGAGAAAGTTCTGGAGATGAATAGTGGTGTTGCACAAAAGTGTGAATGTATTCAATGCCATTGAATTGCACATTTAAAAATGGTAGGCTAGTCAGGCATGATGGTGCATGCCTTTAGTCCCAGCACTCAGGAGCAGAAGCAGGTAGATCTCTGTGAGATCAAGCCCAGCCTGGTCTACATAGTGCATTCTAGGCTAGCTGTGGCTACAGGGAGATCCTGTCTCAAAAAAAAAAAAAAAAAAAAAGGTGGGACAGTCAGTCTTATAACACACACACACTTTAAATGAAGGTGGCTGGGGCCCAGAGGGGTGGCTCGGGGGTTCAGAGTGCTGACTGCTCTTACAGACAATTCAGGTTCAATTCCCAGCAGCCACACAGTGGCTAACAACAGTCTGTAACTACAATTTCAGAGGCTCTGACACCCTCTTTTGGCCTTTGCAGGCATTGCATGCACATAGTTGCACATATATGCACTCATGTGCATGATACTCATACCCATAAGGCAAAATACTCTACCCATAAGATATAAGTAAATAAAAAATTAAACTTTTAAAAAGAAGTTGTCTGGGAAGTGTAACCCAATGATAGAGTGCATGTTTAGTATGTGCAAGGCCTTGGGTTCCAGCCTCAACACAAGAGGGAGGGGAGGGAAGGGGAGGGGAGGGGAGGGAAGGGAGAGAGAAGGGAAGGAAAGGAGGGAGGGAGAGGGAGGGAAAGGAGAAGGAAGGGAAGAGAGGGGGCGGGACATGGGAAGGGGTTAAGAGCAGATAGATAATGGGGCGATACAATCAAAGTCCACTGTGTGTATGTGTGTGTGCACGCGCCTGTGTATGAAATGGTGAAAAAATAAATGAAGGTGGAGTGGAGGGGAGGGGAGAGAAGGGAAGGGGAGGGAAGGAGAGGGAAGGGAAGAAGGGGAAGAACAAAGGAGAGAGGAAGGAGGGAAGAAAAAAATGAAGGAATAAAGGAAGGCAGGAAGGGAAATGGCCAAAGATCCGTCTTCCTAAACACAGAGATGAAGACGCTACAGGCCAAAGGGTACCACAGACAGAGTCAGAAACCCCAGGCAAAGGGGACAGACGGACACTGGAACAAGAGAGAGGGAAGGGAAGAAGGGGAAGAACAAAGGAGAGAGGAAGGAGGGAAGAAAAAAATGAAGGAATAAAGGAAGGCAGGAAGGGAAATGGCCAAAGATCCGTCTTCCTAAACACAGAGATGAAGACGCTACAGGCCAAAGGGTACCACAGACAGAGTCAGAAACCCCAGGCAAAGGGGACAGACGGACACTGGAACAAGAAGAGACAGTCTTGACAATAGATAGGGTGGAACCTGCCTTTCCCGTCACTAGCTCTCTCCGTCACCGCCCAGGCCCACCTTGATCTTGGAGCCAGCAGTGCTGGGGCGACCCTTCTTGTCTACATCCAGCTTTTCAGGAAAGAGCATCTGAAGGAAGGCCCTGGGCAGGAGAGAGAGTGGCTGAAAGTGCAGCTGGACCCCGGGGCATCTGCACGCAGAGGTGGGGCTGCCTCGGTGCCATGGTACAAAATAGGGTTCCCTCACAGCAGGGGCTGGGAGGGCTGAGGTGGGAAGGGCTGCTGTTGCCTTTGGGGTCTGTTGTTATCTGTGTTTTTCAGTCTTACTCTATGAAAATATAAATAGCAAACAACAGAGCATAAAGTTAACAGAAGAAGATACCCAGTGTGGTGGTACACACCTTTCATCCCATCACTCAAGAGGTAGGAGCAGGAGTTCAAGGTCATCTTCAGCTACGTAGTGGGTATAAGGCCAACTTGGGCTACATGAGACCTTGTCTTTAAAAAAATCAAATAAGGGAACCAAATATGGTGGCACACACCTTTAACCCCAGTCTCAGGAGGCAGAGGCAGGCAGGTCTTTTTGAGATCTAGGCCAGCCTTGTCTATATAGAAAGTTCTAGGACAGCTGGGGCTACAGGGAGACCCTGTCTCAAATAAGCAAACAAAAAACTAAAAACCAAATAGGCAGCTTGGAATGTGACTCTATCTAAAATCAAAACAACTCACCACAAACAAACAAAAAATATATCAGTTGGTAAAGCATCTTGGGCAACAGGGGCAGGTCTCCTAAATGACATCTTACACATACATGTTTGCACATGTGCACAAAAATACATACGGGGTCTGGGGAGATGACTCTGTTGGTAAAGTGCTTGCCATGTAAGCATAAAGACTCGAGTTCAATCCCCAGATCCCATGCTTAGTGTATTTCCTCTTGCTGTTATAAAATACCCTGAAAAAAGCAACTTAGGAGGGTTGGAGAGATGGTTTTGCAGTTAAGGGTGCTTGCTGCTCCTCCAGAGGACCCAAGTTCAGTTCCTAGCACCCATTTCGGACAGCTCACTGCTGCCTGTAACTTCAGCTTCAGGATATCCAGTGCTTTCCTCTGGCCTCCATGGGTACCCCCACATACATTGCAGACACACATCTCATAAAATTAAATTAATGAAACAAATCTTTAAAAATAAACCAATTTAGCTGGGCATGGTGGCACGTGCCTTTAATCCCAGCACTTGAGAGGCAGAGGCAGGCCTGCTCTACAAATCTACATAGCAAGTTTCAGACTAACTAGGGCTACAGGGAGAACCTGTATCAAGAAAAAAAGAAAAGCAATTTAGGAGAGAAAAGGCTTATTTTAGGGTACAGTAAGTCATATTGGGACCACAGTGGCAGAGCTTGAGAAAACTGGTCACATTAAGTCCACAGTCAAAACAGACAGCAAGGAGTTAATGCCCGTATGCCAGGCCTCAGCTGCCTCTCTCCCTTTCATTCAAAGGCCCAGCCCAATACATGGCACCACCCATGTTCAAGGTGGGTCTTCCCACCTCAGTGACTCTGAGGGTGATAATCTCTCACAGGCATGCCTACAAGCCAGGCTAATGTAAACAATTCTCACAGAGATTCCCTTCCCAGGTAATTCTCTTTTGTCAGGCTGACAATAAAACCTAACTGCCACACAATGTAAAAATGGCTGGCACAGTGGTGGATTCTCGTAATCCATACTTCAGAGACAGAGAAAAGTGGATCCCCCGGGGTTTTTTGGCCAGTCAGCCTAGCTTCCTTGGCAAGCTCCAGAGTCAGCGAGAAAAGCTATTTCGAAAATAATGTGAATGGTCAGCAAGACTACGCAGTGAGAAAGCAGTTTGCTGCATGTCTGACGACCTGAGCTTGATGCCCAGGACCACATGGTGGAAGGAGAGAACCAACTCCAGTAGTTGTCCTTTGGTGTCCACACACACGCTTACACATGTGCACTCATACACACACATACATTTACATATAAACACACGTTTAAAAAGAAATATATGGAGCCAGAGAGATGGCTCAGCAATGAAGAGCACTGGCTACTCTTGTAGAGGACCCAGTTTCGATTCCCAGCACCCACATGGTGACTAACAACCATCTGCAACTTCTGTTCCAGTTCCAGGGAATCTGATACTCTCTTCTGGCCTCCATGGGCATTGCATACATGTGGTGCACTTCCATACATACACACCAGACACTCACACACATAAAGTAAAACTAAATACATAAAATTTAAAAAGAATTATGTACAAAGATGCTCACCATTAAAGCCCTGCTAATGACAGCCAAAGATGGGAAGTATCTTCAGTGCCCATCACCTGGGGATTAGCTGAGTAACATTTGATCCGTTTACTGCTCCCTTCCTTATGCAGTAACACTTTCTCTGAATACCCTTAGCAGAAAAGGAGTAGGGTGCTTGGTAGACATGGGCTTTATGTTTGAGGTGATGAAAAGTTCTAGGACGAGGTCTGGGGAGATGGCTCAGCAGGTAAAGGTGCTTGATGCCAAGCCTGATGATATGAGTTCAATCCCCAGTATCCACATGGTAGAAGGAAAGAACTGACTCCCAAAAGTTATCTTCCTACCTCAATACGGGTTCTGCAGTGTATGCCCACACATGTGCACACAGTAACAAGACCATATAGAAATTCTGAACTAAATCGTGGTGATGGCTGTGCAACATTTTGTGTGAACGTATTCATTGAGCTCTCTCATTATTTTGTTTTATTTTCTAAGAGTCTTACCTTATAGTCCTAGATGGCCTGAAACTCACAGAGATCTGCCTGGCTCTGCTGTCTGAATGCTGAATCAAAGGTGTGCACCACTACACCTGGCCTTATTTTATTTAAATTTTTATTTGAGATTTTGTAATTTCGTACAAAAGTTCTTAATCAAATTTAGATTCCCTCCCCCATCCATGCCCTCTATCCCCCCATACTGTCATACAGGTTAAGTCCTATCCAGTAAAGCATGTGTACTCCAATGTCCTTCAGGGTCAATTTGTCCACTGGAATCTAGTCTAGAGTTATTTTATCTTTTAAAAGATTAGCTGGGCATGGTGGTGCACGCCTTTGATCCCAGCACTTGGGAGGCAGAGGCAGGCGGAT